TCGAGAGTTCTTGTTATCGAGGATCACTCGCGGAGAGAATGAAACTCTCAATTGGGCACTCATTAAGTGTCGCTCTCAATGTACGCCGGAAATTTTACTGTCGAGAATTGCTCGCGAGGGAATAAAACTCTCAAGGGCCACTCCCGGCGACGTATGCACCGATGAGCTTTACTGTCGAGAATCATTCGTCGTTACGGGACACCCCGGTTCTTTAAACAAACCGAGAAGAGGACCAATATAATATCAAATATGTTTATAATTTTTATTTCCGCACCATTTATGTTTACGGGATCAATTTGGCTCTCTGGAAAAATTCTTAAAGCAGGATTATTCCTTTTCGAAAAAAATTGTACAATAGTCTGATTCCCATATCTAATACGACAGTGTTAGATATCAAAAGAAACAATGGCAATCTAATCTCTTGAATGAAATAATATTTTATTTTTAACTTCCATGCATATTAAAATGTAAATCAATTCATGTGCGGTTAATTTCAAAATAAACAATGTTTATGATAATATCAGGTTTATAATAGATTTAAATCGAAATTGATACATTTGTTGAGTTTTATTCCAGTATTTTCGTTAAATTAACGACATATTAAATTGAGAGCAGTGGCGATTTATAAAACTGATTAAAAATAATTCAAATTAGATGTTAAGATTAAGAATTTCAGTCGGAAAAACGTTTGATTTCGCTCATTTCATGCCGCTTCGATCCACAAAGTCACTCCATCCAATGGAAATAATATTCTAAATTGATCCGCACCGAAGTGGAACCAAATTGAGAGTTGGAAATTAGACCAATGTTTTTTTTTTTTTATGACCCCTCGCTAGTAAACGAGATTTATTAAAACGATCTCCCGACAATAAGATTGTAAATACACGTAAAAACACAATGACACAAAATGTGTGTAAAGTACAGATTAAGAGGGACAAGCGTGGCGACCTTTCTCACCGTAATAAGACATCGTTTCTTTAAAAAAAAATGTAGACTAAATGGGACACTTCTAATCTAATTACACACACAGTAGGGAAGACCGGGGTCAGTTGACTATAAGGGTAAGTAGAATAATCGAAGCTACATTAAAAACAAAACAAGACACGCAGTAGCGACTGCCGCTCAATCTGCTGTAACATCTTGTTGCGAACACATCTATGATAGAAATTATGCCACAATTTTTAAAAATCATACACCTAAGTAAATATTTTTATTCTTAAAATTTTTGTTTTACAATCGTATATGATTGTCTGAGATATGTGATTTGTGCTTAGATATATAGTTAAATGTTCTTACTTAATAAAGTCCAACAGATTTTGTTTTGTTTATGTGTCTTTGTTATCGTATATTGTTAATGTTTTTGAAATTGAATGCGAATGGGGATAGTAGACTAACCATAACATGGAACTGTATAACTCATTTAGTGACGGCTCTTATAGTGCTTACTCAAAATTTTATTCCTTTAAAGAGATTTTCCTCAGTTGTAAATGTTATAAATTTAATTCCCTTATGTCCAATCTCGAAAACTAGGCTCAAATGACATGTTTTTGCAGGAAATAAACTAATTTTGCAAAAAGAAGCATTGTTTTGTCCCGTGAAGCGATGTTTGTGTTTAAAAAATATTTTTATAAAAGTTTTATTACTACTGTAGCCAAAGATGTAGCTTAAAATACATTAATCTTTATTTTAATTATCTTAATCGAATTACTACTCCGATCCCGGGGCTGGTTGAATCAGAACGTATGGAATGCATTAGAAAAATGCATTTTTTTTTTCATATTAGCCATCACAGTTTCCCTTTATTATTAAGATATTATTAGGTAGTCAAATGTATG